CCCAACACCAGCGTGGCTGGCAGGTGGCATTTAAGCTAAACCCCGGCAGCAGGGTTTGCAATCGAGGGAGGTTTCATGGCTCTGTGGAGCAGAGAAGGCTGCATCCCAATGTCCTCTGCACGGAATGGGTTTGATGGCTTGTTATGCCAGGGCTGCTGCTACGGAGGGGACACGTGCCACACTCACTCGAGGGCCGCATGCCAGGCTCACCAGCACTCGGTCACACCACTGAAAACTGGGCAGTTGGATGAGGAACCTGGATGCTGCCCAAGGACAGGAGCGAGGGGGAAGTTCTCTCAGAACCCTGACCCGAGCCGTGGTGCAGTGACTTTACCGGCCCCTCAAACTCATGGGACTAACACAGCTGATGGTTTTTGGTTTATTATAGCTCTACCCTCTTCTGCCACTCATCTCTCTGTGCTCCCTCTTCCCTTTAGCTTGGTCTCATCCTTCTGCAGAATGAGACTTGTTGATAGCAACTGTTCTGGTCTGTGAGCACTCCTGATAACTTCACTTTGCACCACCGTGTAACTGCCTACTCCCTGCTTTCCTGGCCCCAAGAGGCATTTGGTGTCTAAAGCTCATCTTGCACCTCTGCCAACTAGTCAGTCCAGCAAGAGATACTGGACCAAATTGCACTTTCCTGCACTGCCCTGGGACCACCAAAGCTGCAACACCCCCTGCCACTCGACCTGCACCCTCTGCTGGTCACTGCCCTCTTTATAATGAGGGGCAACGCAATTTTCCTTTCTAGGTGACTGTGGCCTTTACCCTGGAGTCATGCAACACCAAGCTCTCAGTGCCCTCAGAGCAGACTGACAACTAAACATACACCAGGACCCAGTCCCTGCTGCCTGAATGCCCCGCTCTTCTTCTGACATGGCTCCGATGTGACAGCTGCCTCCCCAGAGACAGGGCTGCACCTGGGGAGCTCAGCTTGAAAGCCTGGGGTGGAGTCCCCAAGGCCAGCATAGACCACAGGGGTAGAGATAGCACATTCAGCCCCTGCAGAAAAGAGGAGTGCAGAGAACAGCCTGCCTCAGCCCCAGCACCAGCCTCACCTTGGGTTTCACACACCTGAGTTCTGCCTGCACCCACCCTTCACAGGTCTCACTGCTTGTGGCAGAAATGCCCCCGTCGGTGCCCCTCTCCAGAGATCTGTCTCAGCCAGCCCGAGAGGCTGCTGTTGAATCTCTCACAGCGGGGATCTCGCTCCTTGTCTGCAGACAAAAGCCTGGCGCCTGGGAGGCGATGCTCTGGTCACCTGGGCAGGGGGGGGAAGACCCGGCCCTGCGCGCGGGCCCAGGTAGCCAGGGATGCTATGCAGATTGGACGGTTTGTAGCCAGTATTGGCAGCTTCGATTGGACCGGCTGCTGAGGTCAGGGAGGTTTTAAAAAGGCCTGGGCCAGGAAGAAGGGGAGCCA